CTCCCGGAAGCGGCGGCAGGAAGTCCGGCCCGCTCAGCCCCGGTGGCGGCGGGGCCCCGCCGCAGGGACTAGCTCCCTTCTCCGCTCCTCCTGGCGCGGCCGCCGTGGAGCCCCGACACCGATGGCCCGCCCTGCCGCGCCGGAGCCCGGCTCGGCGCCATGGTGAGCCCCTTCCCCTGGGCCTCCCGCTGCGGTGGCGGGGCTCTCCCGGTCCGTCTCCCCGGGGACGCCGTCGAGGAGACACCGGCGCCGCTCCTGCCCGGCCGAGGACCGCGGCGCTTCCCCGGGGGGCCGCGGGCCGTCCCGCGTGGTAAATGGTGCCCGGTAAACGCGCCTTTATGGGGAGGGCAAGGCTCCCCCCCCCCCCCCAAAGCAGCAGGTTGTGGGAACTGTTTGGACTGCGTGTGGTTAGTGCTTAATGATAATTATTCTCACTGACAGGAGAATATCTCACCAGTCCACATCTCCTTCCTCGTGTCTCAGCTGCAGAGTTGTAGAATCTATCTTAAACCCACAAAAGTGGTCAAATTTAATAGTATGGGACCCTTTTAGTGCTGTTTTCATGTCTAAACTCGGTGTGATTGGGTAAGAACCCCGTTTCACTTCATTTGTAGTAAGCATTTTATTGGCCTACCTGAAATAATAGAAAGGAGAGGGAGAAGCGTAACAATTTTCAAATATACAATCATTTTTACTAATGTTTTGGATTTTAGGTGGAATTACTTTTTCCTTTACGATGGTTCAAAGGTTAAGGAAGAGGGAGATCCTACAAGTGCTGGGATTTGTTATTTTTATCCTTCTCAGGTAATGTCTGCTTTTATTTCAGTGCCTGTAAAAGAGTGCCTGTGTTGTGAGTTAGTGCTGATATTCTGGTTCAGGAATGGTCGGGCTTCCAGGTGGAGCTCTGGATTAATTCTTATTTAGTATTCAAAAAAGTTTAAAGAAAACTCATGTAACTAGAACCAGGCAAATTGGAGTGGTGTTCCAGCCGGCTCAGTGTACAGAAGTCCTCGGGCTTCTGAAGCTGGGCACAGTGGTGTTGCACTCTGCTCCCTCACTGTGGGTTCTGGTCAGTGGAGTCATCCAGTGGAGTCCAGGTCTGTTCTGGTGATGTGAATAAATACACGTGAGGGATGAAAGTTCCCCTAAATAAGCTCTAGGCTCTTGTGCTGCCTGAAAAAAGCAATCCAATTATTTTTTTCCCTAGAAATTTGCCTGTGCTACTGCATTTGACTTATAATTGAATTGAAGTTATAATTAATTTTTATTAATACCTGAATACAGTAGTGATTTTTTTCCTTTCCCAAGTGCTTTTAAAGGCAGGGGGGCGGAAAAAAAGTCTGTCTTCCCTGCCTTCCTCGACAGACTCTCCCCGACCAGCAGGAACTGCTGTGTGGACAGATTGCTGGAGTGGTGCACTGCTTGACTGAGATTTCTGGAATTCCTCCAAGTCTCATTCGCCTAAGGAAGCTCAAGTTTGCGGTTGTAGTGGATGGAGACTATCTGTGGGTGAGTTCAAGAGATGTGGAGGCAGTCACAGACCGAAAACAGTGAGAGAGTCTGAACTACTGTATCAAACAGGGCTTTTTTTTTTGCTTTTTTTTTTTTCTTCAGGGCGTGGGCTGCACACAGATAGACCTGGGGAGAGCTAGGGTGGGAACTTGCAATGCACAACTTTTCATTGCAAGGTAACTTAAATTTTCTTTACTGCAGCTTGCAACTGTGTATCATGGCAGTCACTTGTTCCTGTTCACATGACAGTCAGCTGTTCCTGTGAAAAGTTTCATGTACCTCGTTTGTGTGTCCACACCCAACGTGTTTTCTTAAGATGTGCCTGGCAATGGCTGTAAAGCATTGAGCTCTGCATCATCATGTGTATCCCTGGGTTTCTGGCAATGGCTGGAAACAGGATTCCGTGTGCTGCAGTTATTAATAAGGACTTAGTCTCCCTGTTTGGTAGTCCAATTGTTCTTTCCTTCTAACCCTCAGTATTCCCTGCTGCAGAGCTTTGTCAGTGTCAACAGACATTTAGTATATAAAGAGCAGTGTGCAGCAGAGTCATGACGAAAATGCCCCAAACCATCCCCTGGAAACTGGGTTGAGACCAGTCAGACCTATTTAATAGGCAGTGCTGTTCAGACTCACTGGGCTCTCTCTGAGGCAGGAGGCCTGACGCTTCTGTTTCTCTTGGCAATTCAAAAACTAAATGAAGCATCTTCATCGCTGTACATAAAACAATTTGAATATTTTTAAGTACTTAGTTTCAGGAAAATGTTCTTAGCTATTAGAGCACCAAGCTAGGTCATCTAGCGTGGGAAGGGAGTGTGTCTAAAACGCTGGATTTCTGATAGCATTTATTTATCCTGTCTGTGCCAGGGCTCTTCTGTGGGTATTTTTGAATTTCCTTTTCATCTGACTTGTGAATCCGGGGGATGTTTGCCTGCCGCAGAACTGCTTGCATGCCTTTGATGCTCATTTGAAAGCGATAAGAGTTGTTCTCACCTGCTGTGCCTGGGTTTTGTCTGTAAACATTCTTCGTTCATGGCTTTCTGTATTGAAGGTTCTGGGTTGTGCAGTTGAGCTCCCTGATGTCAGCTGTAGACGGTTTCTGGAGCAGCTGATCAGCCTCTTCACCTTCTACAATGGACCTGTGCACCATGCATACATGGTAATTAAGATCAGCAGCCGTGATGTTTCTGCCTAGGAAGAGATCTTAAACACTTACCATATTGGCTGAGCTCTGCCCGGGCACACGCGTGCTGGCGTGTTCCCTTACACTGCCTTCCTACTTGCAAGGGTCAGAGCAAGCTCACGCATCAAAGAATTGGGACCCGGGAAAGTGTGCAGGCCCATCATCTTTATTGCACTGAGGTAGTCTACTAAGTTTCCTAGATGTTCAGTCTAAAGCAGTTTCCTCTATCTTCCTCCTTAACTTCACAAGATTTTCCATGTATAGGTACTGTCCCAGACTGATTGCATCTAATGTCCTGAATGCATTAAGGCCTGTGCAGTGACAGCTGTGTGGATTTTTGTTGTCTGCAGGCACTTTCTCGGGAGGAGCTGAGCAGGCAGTGGGACAGATATATTGAACATATCCAAAAAAACACCAGTGACCTCCACAAGATCTTCAATTCTCTCTGGAATCTGGACAAAACCAAGGTAAAAGCCTGTTCTCTGCAGTGTCTGGCTCTAGAGCTGCCTTAGTGCCAATGGTTTTGTGTTTATTTCCTGCATTGAGCATTTGCGAGAATTCTCTGGCCTAACTTCTTGTGGTTCTCCCTTTCTAGGTGGACCCCCTGCTTTTACTGAAAGCAGCTCTCATCCTGCAAACTTGCCAGCGGTCTCCCCATGTCTTGGCAGGCTGCATTCTCTACAAAGGCTTGTAAGTAACAAGGCATTACCTAAAGGGTTAAACTGCAAGTTAAATCTGCCCCTTCCTAGGGCTGTGCATCCAGGGAGCAGAGCAAGGGCACTAGCTGTACACACAGAGCTGCTGTTTGTTATTGGCAGGAACATTAATGCTTCAGGCAAGGTAATCCCTGTCTGCTGGTGTATTTCACAGAGGATGAATGGTTATTTGTGTTTATCAGTGGAAGAAATGGAAGCATGAAGAAATTAAAGGTTTGGGCTTTAGTAGTAATCTGCTGTCTTTATGATATTCAGCAGGATGTGAAGACTGAACTTCTTAGGCTTTTTAGGTGGAAGTCACCAAGAAAAAGAAAGATGTGTGAAGATTCCTCTTTCCCATTAGTGTTCTCTTTGCAGCCTTGCAAATATAGTGCACATGTGTGTCTGTATGTATTTTTGACTGACTTGTTGGCCAGGACCACTGTCTATACTGATAGACAGTGCGCAGAAGGACGAGCCAGAATTTCCCATGAGAAATGCTGGCTTCTTTCAATCGAAGATTAATCATAGCTGAAGATGCTGCAGATGTGGCACTGAACGACATCAAGGAAAGCCTCAAAGGTGGCCTTGAGAGACAGGAGGTGGGGAATCCTGGGAATTTCTTGGCAGTAACATTTAAGCACCTTCTTCCTTTGGCATAAACTGCTCCTGTAACACCTTTTATGAGCACTGGAAATACGCCACAATGTCTGCATCTTTCCAGGTCTGACAGAGGCAGGCCAGGCATTTTTAAGGGAGTGATCTCATACGTGCAAGCAGGGCACTGAGCATGAGTCACTGCAGCATCTTAAAGCTGGCGGCATGTTGTAGTGGAAGCGGACGTCTGACTTGAGAATGCAGTCTTGTCCTGTGTCTGCCTATCACCAGTGTGTGTGTCTCTATCGCTGGTCTGTCTGGTAGAGATCTTTTTTCACCAAATGTCATCAGAGTTCTCTGAACTCTGAATCTTACTACAACACTGCAAAGGGCTTTGTACCCGAGTTAAACTTCCCCTTCTTCAGAGTCTTTTGAGAATCTCCAGAATGTGGATCTCAACAAGACGTAAACAGGAAGACCAAGAATACCTTTGGAAGCCCTGTCCAAGGGGCCTGTGCTGCAGTACTTTGAGTGCTAGTCTTTCTGAATCTTCTCCACTGCCCACAGCTCTCCATGGGGTGGCAAGAAGCCTGTATGGATTGGTCTGTCTTAGGTCTTGACCCAGCAAAAACAGATTTGTTGGCCAAAAGTAAATACCAGCAGGCGGTTTTCCTGAGTTTGGAGTGGAACTGACCCAAAGGAAAGAAGATAACAAGAGTCCTGATGGTCACCCAGCTCATGTTCCTGTTGTGTGGGGATGTGTTAGCTCCAGCCCATGTCTGGGGTTGGCCCTTCAACCCTTGCAGAGTGTCTGGCAGGACCAGGAGAGGTGGGTGCGGTGGAACCCTAGAGACTCCCCCAGAGATCTCCCAGCTGTGAAATAGGGCCCTGCAGCACTGTCAGTTTTGCTCAGAGTAAAAGTAACAGTCTGGTGTGAGCATTACTGCTGGCTCTGCCTGTCCTGATGCACTGACTGACGGGAGTCTACGGCTGAGCTTCAGGAAATGACACTCTGCTCATGGATGACTTTGTTTTGTCCTTTTAGGATTGTGAGCACCCAGCTGCCACCTCCTCTCACTGCCAAAGTTCTTCTCCAAGGCAATGAGTCTCCAGGCCAGGTATGTTGCTAAACATGTTCCCCGTGTGCAGATACCCACTTGTAAGGATGTGGTGTGGGAGTTTGTGTCATATAAATCTTACATGTGCTGTTACGGGGAAGGCCAATTACTGATGCTGATGCTAAAAGCTTTTATTAGTTATGAATGAGTAAGGTTTCAAGACTTCTGCACTAGGAATTTGCTTTTTTTATGGTCTTTTAAGTTACTGAATTCATGAGTTCTCATCTATGTGGTGTTTTGATTATCTTTTTACCCAAGTTTAGGTATTTAGTGCTAAATTTACACACAATGAATGTCTGAAAGTGACAAATAGATCAATTTTCATTTGCATTAAAACTTGTCAAAAGTAATTATTTACATGGTTCAAGATCTACAAAAAACCAATCAAGAGCCGGATATGAAGAAGTCCTCTGCTCTTACTCTGGTTGAGTGAACCAAGCTTTTGTGCCCTGAGCAGGCAGTAATGGCAAATTGTGGTATATTTGTCCTTGCTTTCAGGTGTATTTTGGTTCATGGGAAGTCCCCTTGACTTTGAGGGCTACCTAAGGAAAAAATCACTGCCCAGCATGGTAAACCAGTCACAGCATTTGCTGAAGGGGATGGTTTGGGGTCTGCTGTAGTCACAGGGAGCCTGAGGAGGCTGGAAGAGGTGTCTTGGTGGCACCGGTGGCAAGCGTTGAGTCATGCCACAGAGCTGATTCTTGGCTTTTCTTTCAGAGTGAGCCTGGAGGTGAGGAGCAGCGGGAGCCTGGTGAGCATCCAGCTGCAGAGTACTGGTTGCCAAGTGCACAAGAGCAGCATATGGGCAGCCCTCTGGGGCTGCATTCTCTGCAGTGAGAGCATGAGCTGGTTCTCTGGGATTCACGTCAAAGCTCTTGCTGGATGCAGGAGTATATCCCTGAGGGTGTTGCTGCCACTAGTCAGCATGTGCCAGTGGGTGTTGTGTAATCAGAACTAGTTCCTTCCTTTGGCTAAGCAAAGGAGTTTGCTCTTTTGGGTTTAATTGTCAGTTCTGCAGATTCCCAACATGCCTGCTTTAATTCCAGTTACCCATGTGCCTACTTGGCCACTGATGGAGCCCTAAAAACAGATGGCTGATGCTTTCAGTCCAAACCTTCAGTTGTTGTTTTTGAGCATCAGTTTATAGATATTCTGCCAGGACAGTTAGGAAAAAAAAATAAAGCTAACGGAAAATTTAACTGTCAGGCATTAAGTGTATGAGGAGGATGGGAAAATGCTGCCTAGTCAGATGTGGTCAGTTTGTGGTGACCCAGGATACAGGATGATAGCATGCCTTCTCCTCCTGCAGAAGCCTTTGGGCTGATGGAGTCTGGCTTCTGTTTTTTATGCTGGGGCATGTTAATTTAATCCTCAAACCTCCTTTGCTCTTGCAGATTCTCCATTGCCGCACGGTGTCCGTATCATCCCTGTATTCCTAATGGAAGATGAAGTCTCAATGCTCCGAGACTTTCCAGTGGAGTGGATAACTAGGTAGGAAATCAATCTGATGCATAGAGAGGCTTGGACAGCAAGGGAGCTAACATATGGTGCTGTGTCCTCGCTAGCCATTGCTAATGTTTTCTCTGATACTAACTCAAACTCTGTCCTTTGGCTGTGTTGTGGTTTAACCCAGGACAGGGTGTTAAAGCCGCCTGAGGTCTTTCAGGCTGAACAAAATTTGTGGTGTCCGTATCTCTGTTGCGAAGCAGCCCAAAGCAGAACTGTTTCCCAAGACCCAACTGCGGTCTTCTGTTGTTTCTCAGCTCACAGTGCTGCCTTTGTGCTTTTTAAGTAAGGCAGTGACGTTCCTGGGAGTCTGCAGTGCAAGAGGCCCATGCTTTTCACCTGTGTTAGGCCTTAGCCATCCTTTTCTGAGGTAGATGCTCTTTGTAGCAGAGAATAGATCAGCTATTGAACACTACCAGGAGGTGATAGCATTACTACGTATGTAATGACTCCAAACAGATCCTACTCAGTAGTTTAATCAACTTGTCATCTCCCGCTAGGTCATCTGTGTCCCCAGCAAGCCCTAGAGGAGAGAAGAATGCTCTCTGCTCCCAGGCAGTTTCAGAATCAACAGGAGACCTGAATAATATCTCTGTGCAGGAGTCCCCTGAGCGAGCTTCAAGCACAGCTGCACCAGAAGATGCTGTGCAATCAGGCAGCCTTGCAAACACAGGCCCTTTGAAGGGCTTCCCCAAAATGGAAGCCAGTACAAAGAATTCTCCAACTGCAAAACTGAGCAGCCCAGACAGCAAAAGCTCAGAGCTCAGTAGAAAAGCATCTTTCCCATCAGAGAGAGACACGAAGCAGCTGTCAAGCCCTTCCACTCTCCATACTTCTGAGTATGCTCAAACTACAGGTCCATATCTGGAAGGTTTTTGCTTTCCAAACCCTTACACCCGGGAGCAGGAGAGTCAGAGCATGGGGAAATCTCTTGTGGACTATGATGTTGAGCAACACAGTTTCCAAAGTTATGCAGCCGGTGGCAGTCCGGCTATATGCTCTCCTGCCCAAGAGTTGAGCAGAAGGAAGGCAAGTGAACAAGACGAGCAAGGGACTCTGAGCCAAAATAGTGTCTCTAGAGAAAGCAGCAGTGCAGCTGGTGGCAATGTGCAGGGTTTGGATTGTCCAGCCACTGCTGTACAATCAGAGCTCCAAAGCAGGAGTCAGCTGCCAACTGTAGAGTTTCAGGAGAGTCTGCTCGGTGACCCAGCAGAGAACATGCACTGTCCCAGGAGCAGGGAGAGTGGCTGGCTGCCTCAGGTGGACAGTCTGGGAGCCCAGGCTGGTGTGGAGTCAGGCAAACAGTGCAAACCGGTTAAGATGAGCTTGTATGTTCACTGCATTAAGGGGCTTTTGCTCTCCCTGCTGGCTGAAGATCACCTCCGAGAGGACCGGAGCTCCATTGAAGATGTGGTAAGTGGGAAAGCTCTTCCACACCTGCACATACACTCACTGCTGCTTGGTGGTGGTGACAGGGGTTACAACTGAAGAGCGAGTGTTGGATCGCTGTTCCCATCTCTTTCCTCACCTGCTCTGTGTTGTGCAAGGCAAAGCCATTTGGCTTGGGGTTCATCACCACAACCAAAGCTACGTGGGAGGTTGTTTGCAAACGTCAGGCAGTGAGCCTGAGAGGTGAGAGCGTTGTCTCGCAGGCGACTCCTGTTGCCTGTTGTTGTCTGTCAGTGCCAGCGCCGGAGCAGAACGTGTAGGTGTGACCGTCAGACAGCCCCGCAGGCTGCCAAAGGCCTGTGCTGGATTTGGGATTTGCTGGGAAACCCTGTCAGTTTCACAGTGCTTTTTGGAAAGCAGGGTTTGTTCTCTGTTTAACCTCCACTTTGCATGTCACAGCTTCTCACTCTGGAAGCACCAGAGAGACGTGTCTGGCAGTGAGTCTCTGAAGCATTTCCTTTCTACGTGAAAGTCTGGCTGTCTGCGTCCCCAGCCTGCTCTCCCTGGCACTGCTCTCTAGGGGCCGGAGCGAAGGGTGCCATTTGGGCACTGCGAATAGGTGCTGTACCAGAGCAATCCCAAATTACTCTGCTGTGGGATTTGCTTCGGTGCGCAGGCTTCCCTGCCAAGTGGCACGGTGCAGCTAATGGGGCTGCGGGGGAAGGACATGCTGGCCCCCGGCGTTTCGCAGTGAAGCATTAGTCTGCAGAGCTGCTGCCTGGCCTCTGCTTTCCTACCAGGGAGCTGAGTCAAAGCTGCAGAGGCCTGTTTGATATGCCAGTTGCCATAGGAACAACCTAATTTCTTTAACTGTCGGACTGGAAGGTGGAGGGAAGTTCAGACTAATGCTGGCTCCCAGCATTAGCAGAGCCTCAAGGTTACTCCATTTACTTTCAAGCTCTGGGACTCAGAGGCTGTGGCTGTGACTGTGACAGCCCCCCCTCCCGTAAGCAGGGGGATGCCACCTCTGCACGGCATGTGAGGATTGGCATGTCAGGGAAAGAATTGCTGCAAAATCAGCAGAGGCCAGGAGGTGCAGCCTTGGCATTTTGCGCCAGTCATGGCACGTGGCTCTGTCCCCTTTCTGCTCATTCCAAACAGGCAGCTGCACAACGGCTTCCTCTCTACCATGTCTTCTCTGGTTGCAGGGAGAGAGGGGGGTGCAGGCAGGTAGGAACTGATGCTCTTGAGAGCTGAAGGTCATCCTCATTGCAAAGGTACCCTCAGCTTCTCTGGGTTTCCTCTGGTTGCAGCTCTGGTCTAGCTGGCAGGCAGCGCAGCCCTGCTGTGTTCGGAGGCAGCGTGGTTCCCAGCAGCCCATGCAGCACCTGTGGTTGGAAACGAGCTTCTGCTCTGCTTCATGTCTGACCTGCTGTGAGAAGGAGCGTCTGAAGGATGTGGCTAGCGTGTGAAATGCCTTGTTGGGGGGGGAAGGTTAGCTCTGCTAGTGACACATTGTACGTCCTCCTCCCATCAAATGCCTGGGCAAGTCCAGCAGTGGGCCCAGCCTGGCTCAATTTGTCATTCAGTTCATTAAGTCTCAAGATCAACTGCCTGATGCTGGTGCACCACATTTCAGTTGATTTTACTTTATGTATTGCCCTGGGGTTGGCAAAGCCCTGTTCCATTCACATTCCTCTTTTTCCCAAATATGCTGCTTCCATCTCGCGTACTCCTGCTTTGGATCTCATCTTAGCAAAACTCTACTTTCACACGGCTTGGATTTTGACTGTGATTAGGTTCTCCTGACTACACCCTTCCTCTGGGTGCAGGTGTTTGTTATCTCTTAGGAGAGATGCACTGCATGTCCTGTCATCCCAGGAGGAAGAGTGTTGTTCGAGGAGGTAAGAAACGGGCTCTGCTGCTGGCATCATGGTGGATTTGTGGCGTAACCTCAGTTTTTCTGTTCCTTTGTTTATCTGTAGATTAAAAATGACCCTCAGCTCTCAGAGATGTCAAAGCTTCGTTATAATTAATGTTTGTTGAATGCTTTGAGGCCCCTGAATGACACCAAAGAAGGGTAAAATATGCTACTTGTGGAGCTGAGAACAGCAGGCAGTACTGATCATCCATCTAGGATGGCAGTTTCCAATACAGGCTTTCCCTGCAGAGCAGGAGGCTTTGGAGGCTTTCAGGATCGCTTCCTGCCTGTCTTTAGGTCTTATCCCTTCATTTCACTGCACAGAAAAGAAAATCTGCTCCGTGACCAGGGAGGTCAAGGGTAGGCCAAGCTCTGCCATCCTGCTGAATGGAGACTTGATCCTCTCTGTGGCAGAGGAGAGCACACGGGCAGGCTGGAGGATTATGGAGTTAATCTTCTCAGCACTGCTGGAGGGTCCCTCAGCCCTGCCTGCTGCCTGGGAGCCTCAGCATGGCCAGGGCAGTTGGCTACTGAAAGTCCAGTCAGCAAAACAGCTTGGCTTTCATGTTAGTACATTGTTGTGTGAATCCTTTGCTCTGTGCCAGGCCTGTTGTTACCCCACAGGTGAGGCTATTTCCTTGGCTTTTCTGGTTTTTCCCCTCTGGTGATAGCCCAGTGCCTGCAGTCTGCAGCTGGCCAGAAGCTCAGCACGGAGGCTGGGTGCCCATTAGAAGACATACTCATGTGTTGAGAGGGTGCTGTGGGAAATGCTGCAGGCAATTAAATCCAGCCCAAGCATGTAAAGCTGCATCCTGTATTGTACTGTCTGGTGTAATAAAGGCTGGTAAGCAAAGGAATATTCCTTGCTGCAGCTGAAAGTCATGGCCAGAATGTGAAGATGAGCCCTGGAGAGTAATGTTTGATGGTAAATTAATGGAGTCTTGCATGTTCTTGTAATTAATAGCATCAGGTGGTTTAATGGCTTATTTTCAGGTTGGAGTGCTCTTTTTCTGAGTCCCCATCTCACTGACTTGTAAGCTGGGAGGCTCATCTGCTTTCCTGTGCCCAGGTTTCCCAGCCATTCCTGGTGGGAGCCTGGGCAGCAGCAGCAGAGCATGGAAGGGTCCAGTCCCTCTGTTACTGACATCGGTCACCCAAGCTCCCTCCAGTACCTCCTTGGAAGCCTAGGTAAAGCAGGGCTTCTACTCTAACACTTGCCTTTTTTTTGCCCTGTCTGCAGTACCACAGCAGTCTGGCTTCTCTAAATGGTCTTGAGGTTCATCTGAGGGAGACTCTGCCCAAAGACTCCTCATCCTCAGCCAAGACAACCTACAGCTTCACTCACTATGACTGCATTCAGAACGTGCTCACAGGTAAGCCTTTGTCTTCTGGAACAGCAGCCACTTCGGAGGACGGAATGAGAACAGGGTTTATGCTAACCTTTTCTCATGCTTCAGACAACTTTTCAGAAACATTGCTTGCTGTAACTCTTACAAAATAGCCTGGATATAAGGCCCTATTGAGGAAGCTTTGTGTTTTCTGAGTTTATAATCTGCTGAAGGCTTGTTGATCACTTTGTTTGGATGAGAGCCAGAGGCTGCTGGGAGATGGAGCAGCTGCCACTGGCTCTTTGCTTGGAATGATGTTACTTGGGCTTCTGCTAAAGGCTAAGTCTGAGGACAAGACTCAACATCCTCTTCAGACCCACCCACCCGCCCTCCCTCCCCCCAACTTCATTCATTACACCCTGGTGTGATGCCTTTTGACCCGCTGTACAATAGAGTGTTTGTCAGTCCTTTCTGGCTACGAGAAGCAGGAACTGGGAACAGGTAGTAGCCAGCAGTTTGGAGACTGCTGCCCTGGATTCATGGGTAGACCATCAACATGCAGAAAGCCCTGTGCATGTATTGCCTCAGTTCATTCTAATGTTTCTCTTTTTCTGGCAGCCTCACAGGCAGTGTCCCACCTCTCTCTGTCTTAGAAGTGCTTTAGGAAAAGAGACAAACCCCAGTGATTCTTGGTAACCCAGGTCTCAGGCCTTCTTGTCACCCCTGTGGGGTGGGAAGGTACACTGGGCTTTTTGTTTGTGCATGGCTGAGCATGGTGCAAGCTGCTGACTAATTTAATTGAAGTGATGCTGGAGCTTAGGCTGTCACCCAGTCTCTGTTCTGTAGATATCCAGGGTGTGTGGGAGAGGTTCACAGCCTTTTCCTGCTCAGTAAATGGGGGCACACTCCTCTGTAGAGTGGGCTGTTAACACACACCCCTTACTCCTCTTCTGCAGCCAACCTGCCCCATACTGCTGGCCCTCTGGATCGGCACTTCCTGAGAGCTGCTACGCTGATCCACTCCGACTTCAACCAGCTTCCGACTGCTTCAGAAATGATAATTAGGTAAGGTGTGCTTATAACTCCCTCCTCTTCCAGGCACAGGAGTGCTGTGTGGCACACAGAATAGGCAGAAGGGGGAACCCCTTTTCTAAGCCTGGCTGAGGTTTGGCATGCATTGTAGGCCCACCGGTGTGGGCTACTTAATATTCTGCCTGCAATGTGATCTGGGTGTTGAGAGGCTAGGATGGCACCAAGGCAAGTGAACTGAAGGCAAAATGAGTTGTGCCACAGGTTTGGATTAAGATATAATTAGCTAGAGTATTGCCGGTTCCTGGCACCATAAGGTTCTAAGATGCAGTTTTAAATATAGCTGTTCCTAATGAATTTGTGTCTCGGCTGGGAGCCAAAGGCGCCCAGAATTGGCAACCTAGATTTTGTTTTTTTGCACGGCTTGTTGGGTTGGAAACACACTGTAATGTGCGTGGCAAACTCAATTGTAATGCGCCAGGCAAGATGGTCTTATCACAGCCAGAGCCCTTCCACACAGCTGTGGCTAAAGCTGATCTTGTGCTACAGCACTCCCCCCATTCCTGTAGCTGATCTCAGGGAGGATGGTGATGTTGTGAGTGTGCAGAGATTCTGCTTGCTTGGCCATGCTTGTTTGTCCAAAACATGATGAAATAAAGATGCTTCTGGGAATTACACTGTTTCACTTCTCTGACACAGCTTGCCAAGGGAATGTGAATCATACACTTCAATGCTGGAGAGCTCCTTGTTTAGCATTAGTTTGACTGGTTCCTTAAATCCTATATCAGCTAAGCTGGCATATTCTGTGTTGCCCCAAAAAAAGCAACTCCATGTGTGAATCAGACTGAGTAACAAGATGACTAAAACTGCTTTCTTTTATGGAGAGTTGTCACACAAGGGTGTCAGCAAACATATCAGTTGCTTTTTTCCTCTATCAAGGAGGAATACAGAGTCCTTTGCTTTGCTCCCTGCCAGCCCTCTTGCAGGTAAATACTGAGTGGTGGTTTTTAATCAATGACTTGAGCTTTTACGGTTACAGTATCTGACTATCGTCTGAGCTTCATCACACATGTGACTAAATAACCTCGTATGATTCCTGCTGCAAGGGTGCTGTGCTGGGATTTGCTTATGGATAGCAGCAGCAGTGAGATAGGTTCCTCCAGGAAGGAAGGAATGTTAGACACAAGGAGTGTTTAACTACTGGCTCTCGATGTACTGGGCTGGTCTGCCAGCAAGGGAAATTCTCAGAGGATGGCCACACGCATAGGTGTTAATGCTGCTGAGTCAGTCACAGAGGATGAGGCATATGACACTTTTTCTTTTAGGATGCCAGGACCCGTGAGAAGGAGGGTCTGGTTTCCTGTGGCCTTCTGGCAATGGATTGCAGGGTTTGGGTGCCCATTTTAGCTCTGTGTTCCTTTGCTCTGCTGAGAGAGACCTAAAAGTCCCTCTCAATAGCTGGGAGTCCAGTGCTGCAAGCACCCCAATGCCCAGCCTGGTGAGTTGAAGTGGATCTTGCACAAAGCTGTAAATCCTGACCACTGCCTACTCTTCTGCCCCATTAGGAATGCCTCCACAGCTGTGTACGCCTGCCGGAACCCCGTCCAGGAAACCTACTTCCAGCAGCTGGGTGCTCCACACCGCAACTCGGGTGTTCCCAACCCTCATGACAGTGCATTCAGCTTGCCGAGCAAGGCTAAGCAAAAGTTGCTGAAGCATGGGGTGAACCTGCTTTGAACTGATGCACTGAGGCAACACATCTCAGCCCATGCTGAAAGTTAGTTCATCTCCAATAAGTAAAGTCTCAAAGCCACTTATTCCGTAGGAGGCATGAGGCTCTGTGCTACATCTATGGGGTCTCCAGCCTGCCTTGGCCCAAGGAAGGGGCACTCCTATTGCTCTGTTCCTGCAGCACATTTTGTGCTAGTGAAGGGTATTGTTGACATTAGCACTTACCAAAGACTGAAGATAGAAAATAGCTGTGTTGGGGTGCTTGGTTTACATTGGCTCTAGGACTGTTCATGGTGCTCTGCCACCACAGGCAGAGACTCCTGGGGTGCCTTCACCTAAAGTAAAACCTCTTATTGCTCTAAGCTACATAGACACTGGGCTACTGGGCTGTACTGGCTTTCAGAGATGTCAGTCAGACACTGCCTCTGCCTGGAGTTCTGTGCCTAAACTTGCCCTGGTCAGACTTAGGCTTTGTTTATATCTCTTAATCTATAGAAATGATCCCCTGCCACGGCATAACGCCTTACCTTGATTAACAGAGCCTGCATCTTCTCAGACTAACTGGAATGGAACAAGTGCTGCAAAACTCCTAATCCTCCTACAGGTGCTGTCAGGAGGTTTTTATACCGTAGCTGAATCTGAGAGATCCTTGTCCCTCCACGCCTGCCTGATCAGTGACTGTGCAGCACAGCACTGCCTTCCCCGTTGCCCACCAACACAGCTGTAACCTGCCAGCCTCTCACAGGGGCTGTGGTGGTGGTGGTATGAATGCACTGCACCTCCTGCCTGCTCCTCAGCCTTCTGCTTCCTTCCCTCGCTCCTGCTGGAGGACCTTGTTTCATCTCCTTGCTCTTGCTGCTCAGTTTGTCTACATTCTGTTGACAGAAAAGGCAAGTGACAGCCCCTTAAGCTAATGGGACCAAAGAGGCCTTGTAGCCCCTCGGCAGCTGTTCTCTTTCTGCTCAGGCAGACGGTGTGTCCCCTATCAGTGCCTGGCTGGGGGGGGGTTGGTGGTGACGGCTGCTTAGACCCGAGTGATGGATACCTGTGTCTGACTGTGCTGTGTGTTTCAAAGCCTGCTGCTGTTATGTACACACGCATCACTGTGACTGTGAAAATAAAAGAGTCTCCAAGACTCACCTAAGCACTATGTCAGCGGCCAGCATCCCACTTACTGCTTGGTTGTCATGTTTGTGATTCCTGGTGTGAGGGTTTGGGGTTGGGTGACCTGTTAGCTCACTGCTGAGGGCAAGTTCCTGCACAGTGGGGTTGAACAGGCAGTGCCTGTTGCTTCCATCACTCCTGCAAAAAGTAGCTACTTGTCGGGGTCTTAGAAGATTTGGAACGTAGATGTGTTACGGGCTTTACCGTGAAATGGTGAGCAGAGTTGTGTCAGTGTTAGGAGGGCATCCCCAGGAGCTGGACACAGTAAAATCACCATCGTCACAGCTTCTTGTTCCCCTCTGCCAACTGCTAATGCCCAAAGTAGCTCTGCCGTTGCAGGGCTCCACTGCAGACCTTGAATAGGAAATTCGGTGGAGTCCAGAGGAAGAGCCAGCTGCTTGCTCAGGGGGTGGCTGGGCAGATTGCCATCTGGCTTCCAGCACTGGCAGTTGAGGAGGTGTTTCAGCAGCAGGAGAGCTGTATGGCACTGCGCCCTGCTGCTGCTGTCCTCCTCGTGGGGACTATAGCAGTGATGCTACTCTGCACTAAAGTACTATCAGTTGCCTGTCGGCTAATGGCAGTGTAGATGTGAAACCTCCTTGGAAAGCCTGAACTACAGCCATCCAGGAGAACTCCAGCCTTGGCGATACCCACACGAAAGGGGGCACAGAGTAAGGCACTGCTTCCCTGAATTATGGACAAGCTGCTTTGGTTCTGGAGTGCAGCAAAGAGAGGCATCATGTAGGTGAGGGATGAGGTGGTGGGAGAAGGCAAGAAGGAAAGATGGTCGTGTGCTCCAGCCCTCTTGTGATGCTCTGGGCTCCTCTGACATGCTGAGCCAAAGAGGCTCCCGCTGTTAGATGCTGCTCTGTCTGTCTCCTCTCTGCACACTCAGCAGCCCTGATCCAGGTTCCCTCTGTGATGCTCAGGAGGCAAGGAAGCCTCGGACTGCCAGAAGGAGCAGCGAGACAGCAGGCAGGGCTGTGAGGCAGCTCCAGACTGCTCTGCTCCCCCAGGGGAGATCCTGCTGTCTCCTAACTAGGTGTTTTGGGAAGTGGTTGTGTGCTCTATCAGGAAACATGAAGAAGTTGAAGGAAAAGCCTGAGAGGGACAGGAGGGAGTTTTGGCACAGCAGCAAAGCACAAAATAGATGCTTTTGCCTGCTGTCGTCAGGAATCTTCCACTACAATCTGCTCTGCCGTCTGTTGGCAGTGGAACAGCTGGGGCGGCTTCATTCCCTTTTGCTTCTTGAACTGCATCTGGCCACCAAGACCTAATTCTGTCCTTTGATCGTTAAGAGGAAGGTTGTCTTGGAGTAGTACAGCAATGAGCTCCAGGCCCTTGACTTAATGGTTGCATTGTAGAGAGGATATTTAAAAATTGGTCATTTCAAGTATAGCAAGATGAGGAGCAGCTGCCGCACGGGCTGTGTCCTGCCTGAGTGCATGAGAGTGCTGCTAACGAGGGCCAGGGGCCTCCCGGGGGGGCGATTTCTTGCATTGCCAAGCTGCCTCTGTGCTCGGGGTGATGTCGGGCACTGGCTTTTGGGCGGCTGGGCAGGAATTGAGTGGCAGTCCAGCACCCTCCACCTGAGAGCTGCTCCTGAAGCTGCCTGCTGCCTTTGATGCGTCAGTGCAGGCAGCTGGAAGCATTTTTCCAAAATGGTTTGTTTGAAGCCTCTCCAGCAGGCTGGTGGCCCTGGTGCGGAGGCTGGTGGCCCTGGTGCGGAGCCTGGACGCAGGCAGCACTGCTGTAACCTATGGGCTCTTCATGCTGCCTGGCTCTGCAGGGCCTGGACCGGAGGGGTATGGCAGATCCTGGGAGATGCAAAGCAGATATTCCCTGCGCTCCTTGTCAGCGTGGGCTGCGGGTGAACTCCAGGCCAGGGAGGCTGTATCTGGTCAGGACAGAAGTGCCATGGGGGTGGGTATTTTAAAGCACTACCCTTGCACACCGTATCACTTGCAAACTCAGCCTGGGCCCATCCCCTCCTGCTTCTCCAGCGTGTTTTTCTGGACCAGCAGCTGGCTGAGCTGCTGGGGCCAGCTGGCGTGAGCAGGACCCAACACCTCAGTGTTTTGCTTGACCCTGGACTAGTTACACCAGCAGGCAGAGCCCGTTCTGTTTTCAGCACAACTGTTTATTGATAATCTTTGCTTATCCACTGTATGAATGTTACCAAACTGTTAAGACAGTTACCAAGCCAGCCTGCTTCCTCAGGGTCTGGTTCCAGGTAGTCAATGCGTGTAGAAATCATGCACTTCAGATATTCTGTAACAAGACAGGTGTAAAAAATATCTCGAATGTATTTGAAATCTCTGCCTTATCTTGCAATCTAATCACTGAAAAATCTGTAAAGAAATCGTAGGGGAGCGGGGCTGCGTTCCCTCCCGGGCAGGGCGCAGAGGCGAGCGGTCCCCAGAGCTGTGCCGAGGCCACCGAGCCCGGCGCAGCCGCTTCCTAACCAGAGGTGCAAGGACAGCGGTGAGCATCCACGACATGCTGTGCTTCACGTGTAGCATGTTATAAACTGTACGGTAGCTCTGTACCCTGAAACCCCCAAACAAACCCTGGATGCTGGGTGACTTCAGGAAAAGCGTGTTGGTTGCTGGGCCGGCAGGAGTCCTGGGGGGTGGAGGGCTCATTCCTTGGGCTGCAGAATTAAACACCCCCTACTTTTGGAAACCTTTCCTTTGCTGTCAGGTACGCGTGAGCTGCCTCTCTGTACACTTGCCCTGGCTCGAGGAAAGGAGATCGAGCAGCAGAAGGAAGCGTGACCTCCTTTCTTCCTTGGCCTTTGTTTTACAGACAAACAAAAGCCCTGCGCTGCATTCCCAAACAGCGTCCCTGCCCCTGCAGGGGCTTCCCAGCTTGAGCTGTGAAAACCGAAGGTTGCAGATAAAGCAAGGAGGGGATTTAGCAATTGATAACGCCCTTGGTCAGATTAAAGAGCAGGGCTCAATGCGTGCTGTCCCCTCGACAGGGTGTACGTCAGGGTGCTCCTGGGCTTGTTGCCTTGTTGGGGCTGGGGGCACCCGCAGCTGCGAGGGCAGATGGTGTCCTGCTCTTCTCCCTGCCCCTGCGGCAAAAAGGTTTTTCGCAGCGGGAGGGCTGGGGAGCCATGTGCCGGGGCCCTGCTGGCATGCGAGGGAGGAAGCAGGAGCCCCTGGGCTGGTGGTGCAAGAGCTCTCTGCGGGCAGAGCGCTGCCCTGCCTGCACCGCCCCATCTGCCCCAGCCTGAGCAGTCCCTGCCCAGGGGGTGCGTTGTGCCCGCTGCAGCCCCTGGTGTCTGTCCGTCCATCTGGGGACTGCAACCAGGACAGGGGCAGGCTGAGCGCAGTGCTGGGCTGTTTGGCTGGGTTGCTGATTTGTGTGTGTGTTGTTTTTTTTGATGACCACGAGAAGTTTTACATTATTACATTCAAACAAACACCCTTGGTTTTGTTACTCTACTTCTGAACACCGCAAAACACAGTAGCAACATAACACATACGAGAGTGGTGCTGCAGCTAACCACGGCAGGAAGGCGATGTGCTGTCATGTTGGAAAATAATCCCTGAAGCCAACGATGGAAGGAAAGAGATGGGCGTTGATACACGTCACAGTTTCCATTTACAAGAGCCCCGGGAGGGAGGACCGCGAGGCCGTGTGCTGGGAGGAAGCTTCCAGTGCGGCAGGCGTCCACGTGCGGCGCTGGACCCGCTGTGGAGCTGAGCCAGCATGGCTGCCTGCCTGCCGGCTGCCCTCGAACCCATGACACCGGGCAGCGCCATCATCGTCCTGGGGCAAAGATGAAGTCGAGGGCTTGGCGCTCCGCGGCAGCGACGTTGGGGTGCCACAGGTCCACCATGAAGACCACGCGGGGACCCTCCTCCGGGGAACCTGGGTGGGATGCAACCAGGGGGTGAGGCTACGCTCCCATGGGAGAGACCAGTGCTCGCCCTGGTGCATGGGTGATAGGCTCCACCCTGGGAGGCTGCAGCCTGCACCCCGGCAGAGCGTGCAACCAGTAGCAGGGGCAGCCTGCAGCTGCACTGGGCACCGGGGAGGCGTCTGCGCAGTGCAACCCCAGTAAACACCTGAACTGCTGCTTACTGGGAGCCCCGTGCCTCCAGCAGCCAGCACCAGGCAGGGTCCTCCCTGCCAGGGCTCCAGGGTCACTTTGGGCAATCAGACCTGAAGGTTTCCCGCTGCAGGGCAGCAGGCACCATGCTGAGCTCACCCTCCTTGCAGCTGCGTCTCAGAGCTGTGCAGGGAGCTGCTGCTGCATATTCCAGCCTTCCCTGGCCCCGTGGCTCTGCACTGAGCTGCGCTTCCCAATCCCACAGCAGGGTTGATGTGGGAGCAACAGCTTTTGTTCTCCCACTCTCTTCACATGCTCCCCTGCGTAAAACAGCTCTGCTTGATGCTTTTATGCCATCAGTGACTAATGCCGGTTAATCCAGGAGAGCTGAAGGGGAACAGCCTCCGTCAGCGATGGAGAGAGGCAACAAAACAGGCCAGCGTGAAGCTTTTCCTCCCTGCACGGGAGACAAAGGTGCCTCTGGCATGTCAGCACTGAGCTGCTGCCTTGCAACGGGGCCGCTGCAGCCAGCAGTGCTGCCGCGAGCAAGGGCGAGAGGATGCTGAGGCTGTCAGCATTGGAGCTGGAGCTGCCCTGCAAAGCTCTAGGGGACGAGGGAAGCCTTTCCATGCTGGCTGCCGTGGCAGGGAGAGGATCACCGGGCCCCGTGCCGGGCTGGCAGTGCTGTGGCAATGCTGGAGGGCTGCAGGCAAGTCAGGATGGGAGCAAGCCCTGGGGCAGGCTGAGGAG